GCAACCGAAAGCTCTTTAGGTTTCAAGGGGTGGTGCCTGTCTCTTATACACATCTAGATGTGTATAAGAGACAGCTCAGCAGCTATTCTAAATTACAGAGTAATCAAGAAAGTTGGTAGCAAAAATATACAATTTCAGTGTGGCGATGATCCAGGAATTCGAAATTGAGGGCTTAGAGTGGGATATTCACAGGTGGAGAGTATGTAGACAGGGGTGGATCCAGAGATTTTCTGACGGGGGGGGGGGCACAATATGAAGTCCACACCGCCTTGCCCACCTCCGCCCCACTATGGTTGGTGTAAATAAGTGGCAAACAATCGAACTCATGGGTGCCCTTCCTTTTTCCCCTTTCCCCTCTTTAATTCAAATTTTTCTCCCTCTTATTTATTTCTCGGCTTGACCCACGGAGTGGGGGGGGGGGCGCCACGTGCCCTCATCTCCACCCCCTCCACCCGCTGGATCCGCGTCTGACGCCTTAACCTCACCATGGTTAAGGCTGAGGGGAGAAAAGTTATTATTATTAGTGTAGGTGGCCGGAAATGGCACTCTCATACTTAAATTTTAATATAATTTTATTCTTTTCCCATTTTGTTTTATAATTAAAAAAAAAAAACAACATTAGGGGCCCAATCCTTTAAATCTGCCACTGGATTGAAAATGAACACCATTAATAATTACTCCTCTATAACCCTAAATATTATTGCGAAGCCCACTGGCTGTTTTTTTTTCCTTTCAGAATATTAAATTATTTTTAATTATTAATTTTAGGCCTATTTATTAAAGAGGTCTTAATTGCCCTGGGCCCCCAGTGCTTAGCACTGGCTGCACTGTCAGTAGATATGTGGTCATGTTTCCTTTGGGAAATCCCTTCCTTTGAATACTTCCAGTGAGTACAGGTAATTATGAAAACAGTAAAATCCAAGTATTATTCGTGACAAATGTTTCTCCCATGGCAAGGCGTAGGGCCTATCTATCTATAGCCCTATACTTTGTAGCGTTGGCCTAGGGCTACTCTCACCACACTGAGATGCTAAAAAGTCGAACTCTCGGAATTACGAATTTTCTCGTTTACGAAACCTGTTAGGACGGAGTGGTACGTAATTGGGAGATGTTACTTACAGTGCCTACTGTACGCAAAAACTCCCCCCCCCCCCACCACCACCGGCGCTGCCAAACTTCTGCGTATGCCCGACTCAAATACTACTAAATTGGTGGTTCTCCAAAGCCCTGGTGCGGGACTGAGAAAAACAATTAAAAATGTGTTCAAAATTGAGCTTCTAAGATGTCAAATTAGGTCATCAAGAATATTTTTTATACCCCATCCTATTATATAGAATTGATTTTTTTAATAATAAAATAATTCTCTCCATCATGTTAGTTATGCAGCTTTTTAAAAATGGCAATAAGATGCGCTCGCTACCGAATCGATTGACTAAACCAATGTTACCACGTTAACACACAGATGTCACATAAAACGAGAGGGACACAAACGTATATCATGCATGCGTCTGTCCGTTTGTTTCCTGAATAGCCTGCTACGCAAAAGTACGTGTAAGTAGATGTTGCCGTTGAAACTTGAAGGCACAACACTTTGTTCAACCATGGCTTTATCGAGCATATATGCCTTTAAAAATTTACAAGACAAATATAAACACAAGATGCCCGACACACAAGATGCTTAGGGGTGAAGAGGTTTTTGGTCGTGAGCTAAAATTCTGGAGTTTAGACAACATTTTAACCCAGGACTTCAGCATGTTTAGCTCCAATTCCTAACCATAACGCCAAAGCTTGAGCCAGGTTTTATTGCAATTGTTACCGTACGCTGCGTATGTGGGCTTTACATAATCGGGAATGCTATACCGATTCGATCGACCAACCAACGTCACCAAATGCTGTCGGCAATAGCTTGTAGCAATTTTATGGAAACTCCGCGTTATCTAAGTTGTATCTTATGAGTGGTTTTATAACATACATTTATATTCACATAGACTCTATTGACCACCACCCCACCCCACCCTCCAGCACGATCCCGAGTTTGAAATAATGTAAACCTCATCTGTACTAACCTGTTTCACAATTTGTTCCAGTATAGGTGGGTAGGCAAATACATGTATAAGAATTACTGACGGAGCTTTGAAGACATGTTCCACCATTTTGACATGGATTAGTTGAACATACATTCACTACACATAGGGAGAAACATAAGAAAGACATGAGTGTGTTGTGTGTATGGGAGTAAAGAAAGGATCAAGATTGACAAATGCAAAACATATGTCACTGTTGACTATAGATATGTATATTTATAACATCAAGATGCACGTCTGATGCTCCTCCTTGATACACACTTCTTTTCTAAATTTTACAAACTATAAGTAGACTATAAACTAGTTACTGTACATTTTTACTAGGTTTCTTTTCCAAAATGTTGATAACATCTTTGGAATTAAATAGGCCCCCTACATTTGACAAAAATGGTAATTGTTGCCATAAATAATGACTAGTATCAACATTACCACAAAAATGGATCTTGAGTAATAAAATAATTATACCGTATAACTACTAATAGAAACCCACTACTCTTAGTGACCCGTGCTTCAACAATGACCCACCTTTAAAGTTCAGCTTTATTAATGACCCACTACTCTAATAGTAAACCAGTGGTGTTACTATTGGAATGTCAAATGAAGAATTATTAGCCTACAAATGACAGTGCAATTATCATATTTTGCTTTAATTTGATTTTTATTTTGTCTTTAACATTATCTATGTAAAAGAATGCTTACCCTACGAGATTTTGATAAGGAAAGATATGGAGAAAATAAACGTGGGTGGGTTAATATACAAATAGTGGATGTTTATTCATGCAAGGGGAAGAGTATTTTCATGAGTCAAGATTTAATTAGAATGTTTTAATATATATATGTTTACCTATGGTTTGACATCTGTCTCCCTCATAACCTGGTGTGCACAAGCAGAAAATGTTGGCTGCGCTAGAGCTTTGCAAACACGTGCCGCCATTCATGCACGCACCAGTGGAACACAGGGTAAATGCTGTAGAAATAGAAAATGTAATTTTTTTAAACTTTTTAATAATTGTTTTAATACAGAAAAATACATTAATACTCTAGATCAATGGATGCTATTAGTCATAGGGATATGCAAATTCTGTGAATATGGAGCCAAAGGTCAGTTGTAGCATATGGTAATGTTTGGGCAAATATTTCATTAGAGCAAATAGAAACATGTAGATTCTGAATATTTTTAAAAAAGTAACCCTCTGCGACCAGGGTAGTTGCCAAAATATAAAGCCCCTATATTTTTTACAGCTAATTTGCATAATTAAACTAGTGTGCATACGAACAGGTACTTTAAAGGGGTACAGTATTTGTAAATTGGAGTATATGCCTAAATAAAGCTTCCACGACTATTGCCATAAGGATATGCAAATTTCGTGAATATGTGTCAAAGGTCAGTTGTAGCATTTATGGTCACAGTAAAGAGAAACGTGAATATTCTGAGTACTTGGAGAAAGAGAAAGCATGCGTTTTGTGATTATTAGTTTTCAGGTTTATGTAGACCCTATATTTTGTAGCCGTAATTTGCATATTTAAGCTAATCAGCAAACGAATTAAGCATGTGACCATGTGTGTAATTTTGGTAATTTAAACTCCTCATTACATGTGTTCATTTAGGGAAATTGACCTTAAATGACCTCTAAAAGGAGTTGCCAATCAGTTTCATGAACCTAACATATCATAGATCAGTTATATATGGTAATAACTGTTCTTTTGATTGTTAGGCTAACCTTTTTTGACTTGCATACTGCAGCACTATAATGTAAAGAAATGTGATAGAAGTCAGCCCATCATTTGGGGCCAGGGAGCCCGAAATGTTCTGTAATCGGGGTGCAGGGCGAAAACCTACCGTAATGAGGAAAAACAGACTTGATAATAACAACAACAACAACAATAATAATAATAATAATAATAATGATAATGATGATGATGATGATGATGATGATGATGATGATAATAATAATAATAATAATAATAATAATAATAATAATAATAAATAATAATAATAATAATAATAATAATAATAATAATAATAATAATAATAATAATAATAATAATATCAATATCTCGAATTTATATGGCACCAATTCCAAAAAAGATCATGTGAATAGCCACCGGAAAACAAAAAGTTTTTAAGCTGCGACTTAAAGTTGCAAATAGAGTTGGAAGAAGTTATGTTATTTGGAAGCTGGTTCCAAAAAAGGCTTCAAAGTACAAGTGAAAGAACAGTGACCGTGGTACAGTATTTGGTGACAGGTTTGAGGATGATGGGAGACGGCGAGATGGAGTCTATCGGGAAAAAAATGAACGCAAATATGATGGTTTATTCAGATGGAGAGCTTTGAAGTTCAGAACAAGTAATTTAAATATACGCTTTGGCTAGAGATACGGTACGAGTGTCTATAAAACGAAGACCGATGACCGAAAAACGAAGACCCATTTTTTGTCTGTTTTATTTTGATATTAATAAGCCAGGCTGTCACAAAATCAAATTACGACATTTTTTGGGCGTCTAGCTGTTTGTGAAATTTTCAAGGGTCTTTTTATAGACACCATATAATGAGTGTCTACAAAACGAAGACCCAACACCCGAAAAACGAAGACCTCCAATTATTTCTCAATTATCTTATTGAAAGTATTTCAAAATCATCATAAAACAGTTGCCAACTCACAAAAAAACTTTTTAAATCAGTAATAATCTGACGTTTGACAGTCTTAGGACTATAGTTATTAATGTAATCTCCTATTTATAGCGTGTCTGCATCAGATTTACGGTTTGAGGTTTAATCTTGATTTTGTGTAAAATAAGGGGAAAGGGTTGGGCGTGCGCTGCGCATCTTAAAATACTTCTAGTATGATATGTCATGTTTGTATAAAAAGAACGACCATTAAACATCCACTTATATAATTCGTTCCTGTTTGTAACTGCGAAATGTATGTGTCGTATCATCGTCTTCATATTGTGTTGTTGTATCGTTTGGTTCTGGTGATATGTCGCTTGTGTCCGTTGGGCTGTCAGTTACTGGTGATGTACTCCTGGCGTTGGTTGTGATATCGGATTCTGGTATTATTCGGACCTATCCTTCTCCACTTTGCAGGCGCGGATCCAGGGTTTTCCCCGACCTTCGCACAGATGGGGTGGTCTTTGTAATGGTGGATCCAGAAATTCGAAAAAGAGGGAAATTCACTGATAGAAAATTGGAAATGGCACTCTCTGGATTTGAATATAGTTTTCAGTTTTTTTCTATATATATTTACGGTGGCCTGGACGGACTGGGTTTCCCTTGAATCCGCCACTGAATGGGGAACCCTCTAACGCTCAGGTGACCTAGGGTTTTGAAACAAATATTGCTTGTTGAATTTATATAGGATAAACCAACAGATTCTTGAGAGGACTTGATGGTTGTTATACCCGTAGCTATATGGTCATGTTTTCATTCGGAAATCACTTCAAATGAATACAGCACTTCCAGTGATTACAGGTAATTTTGGCTTCTGTAAAGTATTATTTTGTTGCAGAAAACAGTAAAATCCAAGTCATAATTCGCGACAAATGTTTCTCCCATGGCAAGGCTTATTAGGGCCTCCTATCTAAATAGCCCTATACTTTGTAGCGTTAGCCTAGGGCTACTCTCACCACACAGAGATGCTAAAAATTCATTTACGAAACCTGTTCGGACGGAGCGACACTTAATTGGGAGATGTTACTTACAGTAGTGCCTACTGTACGCAAGCCCCCTCCCCACCCACTGCCAAACTTCTGCGTATGCCCAACTCAAATATTACTAAATTGGTGGTTATCCAAAGCCCTAGTGCGGGACTGAGAAAAACAATTAAAAATGTGTTTAAAATTGGGCTTCAGATGTCAAATTTGGTCATCAAGAATATTTTTTCTATACCCCATCCTATTATATAGAATTGATTTTTTTAATAATAAAATAATTCTCTCCATCATGTTAGTTATGCAGCTTTTTAAAAATGGCAATAAGATGCGCTCGCTACCGAATCGATTGACTAAACCAATGTTACCACGTTAACACACAGATGTCACATAAAACCAGAGGGACAAAAAACGTATATCATGCATGCATCTGTCCGTTTGTTTCCTGAATAGCTTGCTGCGCATAAGCATGTGTAAGTGTGATGTTGCCGTTGAGACTTGAAGGCAAAACACTCTGTTCAAACATGGGTTTATCGAGCATATATGCCTGTGTATACCTTTAAAAATTAATTCGAAAAAGATTACAGTAAATTCATAAGTGACGGAACTATGGTGTATCGATGATCAATGATACTGATGCTGAATACGATATAACATTGGGACAATATGTTTTACGATCGTGATACAGTGAAACTGGTATACACGGCTCAAGTTTGGTTTATTTTCGCTTCTGATGAAAAGACAATAAATGAGACGAAGATCATCTTTGATAATTATATTGCCTACGATTTAACCATTTGCTATATCAAAAATACGTATATATGAGAATCTAGAGTTATAGGCCTACCGTCACAATTTGTTCCTGAATAACCAACAGGACATGAGCAAACATAAGTTCTTGATGTCGATCCCTGGTAACACGTTCCACCATTCTCACACGGACTAATGGAACAAGGATTGCTGTCCATCACCACTGTGAAAGTGTGTTACATAAATTATTTTTTATTTTTTTAAATTTATTCATTTAAATAGGCCTACATGAACCATGTTCCAACAGCTAATCACTGTCCCACTCGGGTGTCTTTCACAAGACAAACATACACACAAGATACTTAAAGCCGACACACAAGATGCTTATGGGTTAAGAGGTTTTTGGTCGTGAGCGTCTGGAGTTTAGACAAAATTTTAACCCAGGACTCCAGAATGAAGCATGTTTAGCTCCAATTCCTAACCATAACGCCAAAGCTTGAGCCAGCTTTTATTGCAATTGTTACGCTGCGTATGTGGGCTTTACGTTATCGGGAAGGCTATATTGATTCGATCGACCAACCAGCATCGCCAAATGCTGTCGGCAGCTTGTAGAGATTTTATGGAAACTCCGCGTTATCTAAGTTGTATCTTATGAGTATTTTATAACATACATTTATATTCACATAGACTCTCTTGACCACCACCCCACCCCACCCTCCAGCACGACCCCGAGTTTGAAATAATGTAAACTTCACCTGTACTAACCTGTTTCACAATTTGTTCCAGTATAGGTGGGTAGGCAAATACATGTATA